ATGGCGGCAACCTTAGAACCCACGAACAACAAAGCTCAGGAAAATTTGCAAGACGAAATCAAAGAGCTACAACTCTCCCTTCCAAACGAACCATGGTTTGTTTGGCCAATGTACCTCTATCAAGGTTCATGGTGCCTAAGTTATATTTTGGGGGGTATTATCTCATTCAAAACCCGCTTTCAAGCTCATGATACTGATATCATTTTAGCTAGTCTACCAAAAACCCGTACAACATGGCTAAAATCCCTTATTTTTGCCATTGTAAATCGTACGAAATTTTCTGATGATTTTACTCAACACCCTTTCCGCACCAAAAATCCTCATCAACTCATCGAACACCTAGAGATAAATGTTTACGAAGAAGTCAATGGATATGAACCAGACTTATCTGAACTACCCTTACCTCGACTCTTTGCTACCCACATGTCATATTTATCACTACCGGATTCTATCAAGAATTCAAAATGTCGAATTGTTTATGTTTGTCGAAACCCTTTTGACACCTTCGTTTCAACATGGCATTTTTACCAAGAGTTTGAGCCGTGTAAGGGCATTAAACCCGATCTAGATATGATGGAGAAATACGTAGATATGTTTTGCTCGGGTGTCTCCCCATGGGGGCCTTATGAAGATCACGTGTTAGGGTACTGGAAGAAGAGCAATCAAAACTCGCAAAAGGTGTTATTCTTGGAATATGAAGGGCTAAAGAAGGACCCAGAAGCTCATTTGAAAAGGTTGGCTGAGTTTTACGTAGATATGTTTTTTAGCTTTGTTGTCTTAAAAGTTTGAAGGAAATGGAGGTAAATAAGATTGGTAGGTTTACTACTAAATTTGAAAATAAGGTTTTCTTTAGAAAAAGGGAGGTTGGAGATTGGACCAATTACTTGAGTCCAACAATGGCTAAGCGTATTGATCAAATGCAAGAAAAACTAAAGAAGGCTGGTTTTTCATCTTCATACTATGAGCTAACTTGATTAGCTCTTAATTTTGCTACATTTTTTTTTTTTTTTTTTTTGTGTTTAGAGAGCCAAAAGGGCGGGTGATGAGAATTGATCTCAAGATCTCTTAGAACCGGAAGGAGAGCTCTAACCACTTGATCTATCCCTCACTCTCAATTTCCTACAACATAGTAGTTGATGCTATGTTAATTATTCTAGTGAGGTATTACTTGTAAGTTGTAACACATGCACATATGTCGGAGACGAATCAAGCAGATTCTCAAGTTGGGGCTTTAAGGGTAATATTTTGTACTCTCTCCGTTTCATAATGTTAGTCTCATATACTATTTTGGGTGTTTCAAAATGATCTACCCATATTGAATTTATTCCTTTTTTTATTTTATTTTATTTTCCTAATCCGGTCTTATAATTTCTAATCCCATTAGTGGATTGATGACATGACAGTAATTAAATATTTTGATTGGTCATCAATCTCATTAGTGAATTGATGACATGACATTTGATTGATATTCCTAATCTTAAACAAGCATTATAATTGATGCTTTTCAAAGAAAAAAATCTAAACATTTAATAAGATAGAACTAATTAAGCAATTTTTGTACTAAAATGTAAGATTCCAAATATTATTCATTCTCTTATTTTTTGTGATTGATTCTATATGGGATTGACAAAGTGAAACGGAGGGAGTAATATTTTGTTATTGGTCGAGTTTAGTCCAATTTTAATTATTTTCCTATAGGTTATTGGGCCTTGGTTTTCTTGTACATTTTGGAGTAAGGAATAAGGGAGTGGTGTTATTTCTGTATACAGTTTTGATTGACGTTCAAGGTGTTTGTTGAAAATTGTGAAGTGCAGTTTCGATTTTGAAGGTCGATCATTTAGGTCTTTAGGGGCCTTAGCCGATCCCCGGCAGTTATTTTAGAGGTTTTGATTCAAATGTCAAAGTATACTTTTCGTTTTTTTTAAAAATGCATCACTTTAATTTTTACGCTATTTACATATTATGGTTGACTTAATTTTTTCACAACTCCAACCAATCGGAGAATCCGTTGTTTTGCAGGTACAGACTGCCCGGAATCCAATCTTGGTGTTGTAACCCCGAAACAGATATAATATTAAAATGTACTCTCTCCGTTTTTTTTATAAGTTAGAGTTGAGATTTTCCGATCCACTGTTCATATGTCATCATTAACTTAATTTATTAACCAACATATACATAAGATATAAATATGATTATATAATATGTTGTTGAATTTATCATAATGTCCACTTATATAAATTATTTTTTTCATAGCTTTTACAAACCTCTAATTAAAGATATTGATAATCAAAGTTGTGTCTCGGCAAAGAAGCCAATCCATCTTTAGCTTATGACAAAAATAGAGGGAGTAACATATAATTTGCCAAAAATGGAAGTGTAACACTATTAAAACACGACCGCATTCGTAATTGTAACACTTATTAAAATACGGTGAGAGTAAATATATATAAATGATTCAATTAATTAAGTTTCTCTCCTAAAGTATTATTTCACATACTTAATTTTATAGATGTTTGCAATTGATCGTGGTTTAATTTTTTTTTTTACTTTCCTTAAAGGTAAATTATTTTTATATCTAGTTCAAATCTTCGTATAATCATATACTCTCTCCCTCCTAATTTTTCGTGCCAATTTATCTAAAAACACGGTTTTTAAGGAGCATGGTGGAAGTAGGAGAATATTCTATTAAAAAAGATAAAAAAAAAAAAAAAAAAAAAGTAGAGAATATTGTATTGAAAAGAGAAAAAGTAAGTAATGATTTTTTTTGGGTATATGTGTATTTTGTGTGGGAAAGATAAAAAATAAGTAATGATTATGGACTATTTTTAGAAACGGGCACAACATTTTGGAACGCTCAAAAAAGAATACAGACACGAAATTATGGGACGGAGGGAGTATAATGCAATGCAACAGAACATAAAAATATAAAATAGATTAATTCTAATCGTGCATCGATCGGACAGGGATAACCTAGTAATATACTAATAGTAACTACAAATCTAGATAAATCAATTCAAGTTTATAACTCTGATGTACAAAAAATTGTACATTAAAGGGTAGTTGTATGGTCATTTTAGCTAATAAATGAAGGATAATTTTGTCATTTTACCTAAATGAGGGATAACTTTGTCATTTCATCTATTTTTATTGTTTAGAAAACAAAAAAAATGGTGGTTGATTCATAAAATTACAAATTTGTAAATTAGCCCGACTAATTGGATGCTCCTTATATAAATTAATGGTGCAAATTAAAATTCAAAATATTACATTTAAAAATTAATGGATTGAGTATTGCATAAGGAATAACAATTTCATATCTAATCTCAATTCCACCCTTACATATTGTTTAATGATCCTAGATTCCAAGTATGACTTGCTCCCTCTTAGAGCTGTCAATTTGGATATTTGAGTTGAGCTTAGTTAGGTCAATAAAAGTTTGGTCAACACGGATCAGGTCATGTCAGGTTGATGGAATAATAGGTTGGGCCATAATTGGGTTTGGTCGTGTCTGGTCATGTATGTATACTATTAGGATTTGGTCAGATCCAGGTTAGGTTGAAATTTAGATCGATTAAATTTAGTTAGGTTAGATTCAACTAGGTTTAGGTTTGATACAGGTTTGTAGAAGTTTTTTGGGTCATGTAAATTTTGGCCAGATCATCATCCGACCATTTTAACGTGAATATGACTCCTTTAATTATTAAAAAATTCATAACAATAAAACGTATATATATAAAAGGGGGTTACTAAATGCCACAATAGAATTACTCATGCTGTAGTATTGAATGACCTATTTACCCTTATAAATTTTATGTTTGACCTCATTCAATTTTCTCACCAACCATGCCCCCTTTATGCAGTACATTTTATTGCGTTTCGTCCACAAGAGGCTGAAAACAATGGAATCGCTGCATAATAAGGGGGTTCGTATGCCGGAAAACGCGGGGAAATCGCCGGCTAATTTGACGATAAGTTTTTTTTCATGTTGTGTGCATAGTCGCATGCTATATGCGATTATACCACAGAATAGTCGCATAGCATGCGACTACGCCATGGTAGAATCGCATATAGCATGCGACTGAGCCATGGTGCGGTTGCATATGGTGGTAGTACAATATATTTTTTTTTATTATATTAACCTTTTATACTTTTTAATACTCCCTCCGTCCCTGATTGATAGTCATTTTTGGTAGAAAATCACGGGAATTAATAAACATAAATAAGAAGTAACAAAAGTACATTGAAAAAGTAAATTTACATTGGGTATGGAAAAAAGTAGAGAAAGAAAGTAATTAAAATAGGAAAGTTAAATTTACATAGAAAAGTTAAATTTGCACAAATATTTTTGCAAATGGGATAGAATTTTGGTAAAAAAAAATAATATTAATAATACTTGAAAAAAGCAAATGTGACTAACATTTTGAGTCACCAAATATGGCAAAAGTGACTATCATTCGGGGATGGAGGAAGTAATACGGAATATATAATTACAAATACAAAGGTCAAAGGTATGCAATGACATGTGTGCTGGCGAAAGTTTTACGATTATTATAAGGAAAATTTGTCAGAGACAACCTTTTATAAAGCAATTTTTGTCTGGGACAACCTTATAAATTTTTTTTGGCAAAGTCAGACCACTTAAAAAAAAATAAAAATTGTAAAGGGAGACCAACCCCCTCCTTCAGGCCATTGACCACGAATTCCGGCGTTGACTCCCACGTGACTAGCACGTGCTCCTCTTTTCTTCTAATTACACCCCTAAGTAAGTTAAGTTAAGTTAAGTGCAGTTCAGTTTAGTTCAATCAATTAGAACAGGTCCGTAGTCTACATTATTGCAGAGGATAGATGTACAATAAATTCATTGTTTAATTACTTGAATTTTTTATTAATTTTTTTCTGATCTTATTTGAAATAAGTAATAAGTTTTTGAAATAAGGTGCATTAAAATAATAAAGAGTTAAAATTGAAAAACAATTATAAATATGCAACATTTTTTTGCCATTGTGAACATAACCACAACATTAAATGGCAGCCTTAGAGCCCAAAAACACAAAAGCTCAAGATAAAACGGAAGATGAAACATGGTTTGTTTGGCCGATGTATCTCTATCAAGGTTTATGGTGCCTAAATTATATTCTTGAGGGTGTAATCGCATTTAGAACCCACTTTCAAGCTTATGATTCTGATATTATCTTAGCTAGCCTACCCAAAACCGGTACAACATGGCTAAAATCCCTTATTTTTGCCATAGTAAATCGTAAGAATTTATCTAATGATCTTACTCAATACCCATTTCACACCAAAAATCCGCATGAACTCATCTCACATTTAGAAACAAAAGTTTACCTAAAAGTCAATGAAAAACTACCAGATTTGTCTAAAATACCTTCACCTCGACTCTTTGCTACTCACATGCCGTGTTACTCACTGCCAGATTCAATCAAGACTACAAAATGTAGGATTGTTTGTGTTTGTCGAAATCCTTTAGACACTTTTGTTTCGATATGGCATTTTTTCCAAGAGTTTGAGGCATGTAAGGGGATCAAACCCGATATGGAAATGATGGAGAAATACGTAGATAAGTTTTGCTCGGGTGTTTCCCCATGGGGGCCTTACGAAAATCATGTGTTGAGCTACTGGAAGGAGAGCAAACAAAATCCAAAAAAGGTGTTATTCTTGGAATACGAAGGGTTGAAGAAGGAACCAAGAGATCATTTGAAAAGGTTGGTGGAGTTTGTGGGTTGTCCGTTTTCGGAGGAGGAAGAGAAAGGAAAGGTTGTAGATGAGATAACAGAGGTATGTAGCTTTAAAAGTTTGAAAGAGATGGAGGTCAACAAGAGTGGTAAGGTTATATTTGGATTTGAGAACAAGGCTTTATTTAGAAAAGGCGAGGTTGGAGATTGGACCAATTACTTGACTCCTATGATGGCGAAACAATTTGATCAAATGCTAGAAAAGCTTAAGACAGCTGGGTTTTCTTTTGAATATTATCAAATGAACTCATCATAATTCAGAAGTCCACAAAATCAAGCTATTGACCAGATCAAATTAGTGATCTTGTTTTAATTACTCAAGCAAGATCTTCCCAAGGGTGGCTGATGTCTTCTTTAGTTCATCTGTTTGAAGTTATTTGAAAAAGCTTATGTATTGCTATTTTCCTATTATTGCAATCTACTTCAATTCAGTTTTTTCCAAAAGGTCAGTGAATATATACAAGGATACGAGTTGGACGTACACTTGGCCTGGGTAGAGATCACTATTTCAAATAGGCTGGGGTGATAATGAGTCTGAATTGTTCACGATTGTTAAAGCTCAACTCGTTCAAAACTCAGTCAAACATCAATTCAGTAAAGCCGCTTTTGGCTCGACTTTGGGTTTGGCTTGAGACACCCTTGTGAGCAAATCGAAACTCAACTCCAGACCTCGTGAACAAGCTTAACTATCTTTTAATCTTTGAACATTATATGTCATATTGTTGAAGTATAAACTTCCCAAACAACATCTGTAAGTGTTTCACGTTGAGAAAATAAGAGAGTTAAACTCTTTATAAGGTTAACGAATTAATCCTCCTATTACAATATGGTTTTGGGATAGAAGTTCTTTGGATTTGTGGAGCGAACTCTCTCTCTTAGTTGCGAGTGCAGCCCTGACCTGTATTTAACACATATCCTCATACACCTCGTAAGCACACCTTGTATGAGTTTTATACTTGGATAGCATAAACTTCGACAAATCCTCCATTGGAGTTCTTAAAATCTTTGGGCTCTTATGTTGAGTTTATGGGCTAGATCCAAAATTCACTTTTTATTTGGGCCGATGTATGCTTCTTCATTTTGGACCAAAATTTAAAGTACGTAGTGTTGGTTTGTAATATAGAGTGTGTTTAATGCTCAAAGTAGAAGTGTTGTGATTGATTTCATATTTCAGTTTCGTTTTCCATTAATGTGAGATTAAGAGCTTTTATTTTATCCTAGTGGATTTTTTTTTTTTTTAAAAAAAAAAAAAAAAACCACCCTCATCTTATTCTTATATATATTCATGTTCTAAATTCAATGTATTTTCATGTCAACCAAACAAACACTTTATTATTATTATTAAATAGGATATGAAAAAAAGTGGAGCGTCATATGATTTTACATAAAGTCGGCTGAAGAAAGACATACAACCTTGGCAAAGAACGTCGTTCCGCAGAATATATGACTCATGCTCCTTTAGGTTCTTTAAAATTTGTGGGTGGGATGGCTACCAAGATCAATGCAGTCAATTATCTCTCTCCTTGAAGTTGGTTAGCTACTTCTCATTTTGTTTTAGGATTTTTCCTATTCTTAGGTCATTTGTGGCATGCGGGATGGGCTTGTGCAGCTGCAGTAGGATTTGAAAAAGAAATTGATCATGATTTTGAACTTGTTCTTTCGATGACCCCCCCCCCTTAATTGAGACAAGAAAATCAACGTTTTAAGGTATAAATCAATTGGCTTCCATCATACATATTACATATAGGGATCAGGTCATACGTAAAAAGTATTCCTTTTTTCTAGTTTTTTTTTCAACTCATTTCGATGTAATTTAATTTCTTTTTTTTTCTGGCTCGACTATCTCACCTAGCCGAGCCATTCTGTTTTATTTTTAACAGACCAAGAAAAACTAATAAAAGAAAGAAACAGTTCTATTGAACGAACAAAAGGAGAGAGAGGGATTCGAACCCTTGATAGTTCTGAACAAAGAACTATCCGGTTTTCAAGACCGGAGCTATCAACCACTCAGCCATCTCTCCAACATAAGACAATTTCTATCTTATTCTTATTCCCCCGAATAGAACATGGTTTTAGTAGCTGATACCATCCGAATTTGTCGGAAAACTTTAGGTGTAAGTTGATAGGGTGATCCATTTATCTGTATATTATATAGAAATGACCTATCATGCCCATCAATATCAATATATATTAAAACTAAATGGCAAGAATTGTAATCTTGCCATGTGTCACCAATTTCGCCATATGGCGCCATGTTATTTTATTATTATTATTATTAATTTTTTCACTCAACAAATTCTAGTTTGTTAGCATTAATATTTGAAGTTATAATCTCATATTCTTAGCTTTATTGAATTTAAAATTTAACCACTACTCTAATAACACTTATGGTAATATAAAGTGCGTTATTCATTTTCATTAATTCTAAAATTTTAATTGTCTTATATGTGTATATTTTATCAATAATACGATTACAAATTAATTTTATTTCTTTTAGTTACTCATTTATGATTCATATATGTTATAGTATTTAAAATATGTACTCCAAAAAAGCATAGCAAAATTTTGTTTTTTTCTTTTAATCACAATAAGTGTTTACTTGGAATTATTTTTTTATGAAAACTAAAGAATAAAATCTTTTTAATAGATAAATAGACTAATATATACGGATAAAACATTTAGGTTACCACATATTATTAAATAAAGAATTTTGATGTTCAATAATATTTGCAAAAAATAACAAATATATATATTTTTAATAAATATGAAACCACCGATTCATTTTACATTATTTTATTATATTTTTTTTATATACATGACCCGGGGCATCGTCCGGGCCAAAAACTAGTTTAAGAATTTAATTATTAATTAATAATTTCCCAGTAGTTCCTAAATAAAGCGGTAATAAGTGATATTATATAGAATCAATGAATTCCATAGTAATAGTCTAAAATCCCTTCGTGATACATTTATTAGTTTATAGTACAATGACCGATAAAGGGATCAAATGGTGTATAGTTTGTTTGTTGATAGCTTGGAGGATTATACGTATGACTATAGCTTTTCACTTGACTGTTTTTGCATTAATTATTGCTACTTCATCAATCTTATTGATTAGTGTACCCATTGTATTTGCTTTTCCCGACGGTTGGTCAAGTAACAAAAAATTTGTATTTTCCGCTACATCATTATGGATTGGATTAGTCTTTCTGGTGGGCATCCTTAATTCTCTAATGTCTTGAACCTATTTGTTCTAGATCCAAAAATGACCCCTCCCCCAAATTTGAATTATTTCGATTGAGTTGTGAGACATAGTAAAATACAATCAATTTAACAAATTAAAAAGTTCCCCAAAAGACAAACAAAACAAATAGCGAAAACAACAAAATTAGAGGGAGAGGTTAAATACGGGTCTGGGCCGCACTCATCACGTGAGAGTGTAAGTCCACCACTTTACAAGACCAAGGAGGTTCCACCTCAAAACCATATGGCAATGAGGGGAGTAACCCTTAGCCTTATATTGTGGTGGTAACTCTTAATTCTTTCAATCACTAGGTGAAAAAAGGCATTTGGCAGCGCTTCAAACCCGGTCTAAGGCACCGGTTTGAACCGCTGCCTATGTGAGGGGTGCCAAAAAGGGGGCCAAAAAGGCACCGGTTCAAACCGGTGCCAAAAATCGAAATTGGCACCGGTTAACCGGTGCCAAAAAGGCCCACAAAAAAATATTTCAAAGTTTTTGGCACCGGTTAACCGGTGCCAAAAACCCCCCAATAATTAATTTTTTTTTAATTAAATAAACTAGAATTAAATGAGAATACCAAATATGAATCGAACATCACAATCTATATAATTCAATCTATTCAATATATATATATGATAAAAAAAAAATTACAGTATAGATCAATAAAACAGTATATAAATCAAAATAAAAAAAATTACAACATATAAATAAATAAATAAAATTACAATATAAATCACAAAAAAAAATTTACAACTTCACAATATACTTGTATCTTGATTCTTCAATTTAAGATCTAAATCCATATACCTGCACCAATTAAAACAACCAAAATGAATCGATTAACATGATTTAGCTGCGAAAAAAATAAAAAAAAAACCCCAGAAAATCGGAAAAAAAAAAAAAGAAAAGAAAATCAGTTTAAAACCTAGAAAAAAAACCCAGAACATCAAAATCAAAAAATAAAAATATATAAAAAAAACTCATAAAAAAAACCGATTAAAATAAAAATTAAAATCGAAAATCAGAAGAAAAAAAACCCAAAGAATAAAAAAATTTCGAGAGAAAAACCCAGAAATTAAAAAAAAAACCGAATTAAAATAAGTTTAAAAATCGATTGACCAAACCAGAAAATTGAAAATCACTTAAAAAAACAAATTAAAATCGATAAAAATAACAAATAAATCGATTAAAATAAAACAAAATTCGAAAACCAATTAAAACCCAGAAAATAAAAAATAAATCGAATTAAAATCGAGAAATAATACCCTAACCTTGCTCATGCATGTGTTCGTGGTGGATTAAACCAAAAAAAAATTCAAAGAAACCCATAAAAAATTTTGAAGACACTCATAAAATCAATTAAACCCAAAATTAACTTCGAACAAACCCAAATCAACTTGTATTAACCCAAAATAATCAATTTCGAACAAATCCATAAAAAACACCCAAAAACGCATGCATTAACCCAAAATCGATTATTGTAGCCGAAAATTAACCCAGAAATCGAAAAACAAAATCAAAATCGAAAAAAAAACAATCGAAATCGAAAAAAAAACCCAGAAATAGAAAAAAAAATCAAGGTCGAAATCAAAAAAATTAACCCAGAATAACCCACAAATCGAAAACACCCAGAAATCAAAATAGTTGAAATCGAAAGAAAAATTGAAATTGAAAGAAAAATCAAAAGCCCAGAAAAAAATTGAAATCTTAAAAAAAAAAAAAAAACCGAGAAATCGATAAAAAAAAATGCAATCAAAATTGATGGAAAGAAGGGTTTGAAAGAGAACGAGAAAGGGATTGAAAGAAGGGATTGAAAGAGAACGAGAAAGAGATTGAAAGAGGAGATGAGAATGAGAGCAGATGAAAGAGAAAGGGATGAGAGAGAAAGGATGAGCGGCGAACAGAGAGTGTTTTGTGAGTGAATTAGCTTTAGGGTTTGAGACTTAGAGTGGTATATAACCTTATATATAAATGGAATAAAAAAAAGCCGGTTTTTTTTAAAAAAGGATTGGCACCGGTTCAAACCGGTGCCCTTTGTATTTTTGGCACCGGTTTTGTCTGAACCGGTGCCATTTCTCTTTGTCTAAAAACCCGCCCATTTTTAGGCTAATTTTTGGCACCGGTTTGGCCTGAACCGGTGCCATTTGGGGGTTTCCTTTTTGTATTTAGTGAATGTGGGATTTCATATCATTACCACTACACTTCCCCTTTTTTAGTGTTTAGTGTTTTTTAGTGTGGGACAAGAAGAATGCTCACATGTGGGTTGTTCATGGGCTCCAAAGAACCAAGTAAATAAAGAAATTTAGAATTTAATCGGAATGGTGGTCCGACTCTACACATATATCATCGAGACATATATTGTATATCTATGTATATGCATGCAGGGACATATTCCTTCTCAAGAAGGTAAAAATGCGGATATAGTCAAATGGTAAAATTTCTCTTTGCCAAGGAGAAGATGCAAGTCCAATTCCCGCTATCCGATCAAGGGAAAATAAATTTATTTACTATGATAAAGAATTTGGTTATAGTTATAGTCGACCCCGATAGTGTAGTGATTCTATCCTTCGCGTTCTTTTATTTTCTCACTCCCCAAAAAGAAAACCAAATAAATATGAATTTCAATTGCTGAAACACTTTTTTTAATACAAAAAACTGACTAGCTGAAACACTTTTTTTTTTAGAAATCTTGGCACAACTCATACTCAACTGCTTTAAATTTGACACGAGCATGCACTTAATTTTTATGTATTCGCATCCTCTAAGTGCGGAAAATCCCTATTGATCTTCTTGATTAACGAATTTCGTCAATCTAGGGGTTATTCAGGTATTTCAACCTATTACTATGAGGATGCGTTTGTAATTTTACAGTAATGACATGGACTTTTACTTTGACTGAGCATCCAGGTAAACATACGCTTGTACATCTGGACTTAACTCCATTTCATAGTCGTCAGTTAACAACAGACTAGGGTTTTTGTTACTCCACCTTCAAAGTTCATCTCTCTCTCTTTTGAAATCATCATTTGGAATCGACAACAAATGTATGTTAATTAATTTTTTTTTCAAATCCACAACCTCCATATCTTTGCCGCTTTGAAAACACTGTAGATCTTCTTTGCATCCTATCACACAATCAGAATGGGTCAATACGATTTGGGTAAGAGGAGGCGTGACTGTAATGAAGACAACAGGCTGGACATCTTGGTTCAGCAACCAATTGTAAGTACTAATTATCTTTTATAAATTTGTAATATATCAAAAGGATGATTGTCTTACTTATGAATGTGAAATTGAATATGCTATGTTCATTGGAAGTATTACTTAAATTTGGAAATATTCAGTGTATATCTTGTATAATTGTTATCAATGTGTTAAATTAAGCATAATTATAATTGCAAATTGGTAGAATTGGAAATCGAATTGTTCACAACACAATTGATTTACATCCTCAACTGTTTGCGGTAACGATATTGTGAATTTCATTTGCTTTCTACTTGTTTAATTTCTGTTTTTAATTTTCAAACCATAGCAGCTGATGATAGTTAGTTTATGGATCGTAGGATAACTCCCAAAGCGTGGGGGGCCGTGTGAAAGCAAGAGCCCAAGTGATTAATCAATATTCAGTAGCATTGAGAAGAGTGAACTACTTGATTTGTGTGTGATTAATTATAATTTTTTTATGGTAAATCTAATTTTAATTAGACCCTAATGTGACTTTGGTAAATTATTTGAATTGATGTCAGCCCCCAAATATGAACTGTCGAGTTGAGTCATTCGGAAGAATTTGCCAAAAATTTGATGAAAGGAGGATAAGATGGGTATGTGAGATGGGATTTGGTGGCTTATTACATTTGGCTTCCCATATGCATCTACCTAGACAGTTAGCTTATTGGATAATGACGCGTATTGATCCAATTAATAGATGCTTAATTGGTACAAACGGCAGGTCCTTCAAGTTTTTTAAGAACCAAGTTCATTGGATTTTAGGAATTCCTATTTGGAAAACTGCAGTTCCTACAACAAAGCAATTGTTTGGTGATGTTCGTTTGAAGGTGCAGAATGTTTTATTGAAATATGGAAGGACATGGGAGACGACACCTAACCAACAATGCGGTCGCACATACACTTCAATGGGCATCCCTGTTACCGTACAGATGATGGATCGATTGGAGGGACAGTTTGAGGCAAATGATGAAGAAGAATTCAAAACATTATTCCTAATCCTTGCCCTTCAAATGATTTTATGCCCAATACAGTCACCAAGACTAGCATCTGACTTGTTACCGGCATTGAGTTGTGCTATGGAATGCAAAAACTATGATTGGTGTGACCTTGTTTTGAAAAAATTTCTTCAAAGTGTTAAAATTTTGCGCGACGTTTTTATGCTAATGGTTTTGCAGGTGGTTGCGGTGGATGTGCTATATTTGCTGTAGTGAGTATCTAATTTGTGCAATAATTTTTTGTGGTGTTGTATTTTATAAATATTAATATTATTTGTTCAATTATTTTGATACTTATACATAATTTAATCCTGTCCTTTGTTGCAGATATTCTTTCTAGATCGTCTGAATTTGGATCCCTATGACTGGGATGTATATCCTCGTTTGAAGGTATGGAGCATGGAGAGAATAGGTTATGCAGGGAAGCTAGATAGAAATATTTCCGGTGATTATGGAAAAATTGGGGTAAGCAATCATGTTAAGTTAGTATACTTAGTTTTAATTCTGAATTGTTAATCAATTAAATTGAATTTGACACCTTTATCCAATGTATTTTTTAGCTATTGGATGTTGCATATGGAGAAAGACATCCTAAAGTAGCTAGGGACACATTAGGACCCAAGGAATCTCCGATGTTTGATGTGAGTTATTGTAAGTGTTTTTATTTTTTTTAGTAAATGTGAGTGATATTATATATCTCACCTTTGATTTTATTTGATTCTCAACGACTTTTTGTATAATGTTACAAATACTATTTATGTTATGTAGGAAGTTTCGCAGCTACTATATAGTACAAGTAGAGATAGGCGTAGACGTTCGGATCTATTTGCTTTACGATGGGGTACCAAGAAAGTAAATGAGGAAACGTCCACACAAGTTTGGAATGGAGAATCCTCCAGCGCGTAAGGGTGATTTTTTCGGCAGAATCATAGTACACTAGTTGAGTAATAATTAAAAAATGTTGGTTACATGTAGTCGATTTACATTACCAAAGAAAAAAAAACTACAACATTTTCTTTTATAAGTTCTGTCTATTAAATTTTGTTGCATTCACAAAATGGATTTTATGATGTACTGTATGAAGCCCACTATAATGTATGGATATGTTTTATGCAAATCTGAATGTGTAGATGAATGCTAAGGTTTAAATTGACAATTTGACGTGTATAATTTAGGAAAAATATTCAGCTTGCCCATTGAAGAGTTTGGATATGTTCGTGACCCATGATGAAGATTTGGGCCTTTACATACAGGCACAGGCACAAGCGTCCAAGAACAATCAATTAAATAAATAGCAAATTTCAATTAGTTTATTATTAGTGAAATCTAGTTAAAACACTTGGTTCCAAATCTTGTTAAAACACGTGACACACCAATGACACATTTTCTGTTGTTATTAATTAATAATACAGTAATTAATTATTATTTTGCAACATTTCACTTTTGTAAAATAATCACTTCTATATTCAATATTTTACTATTCCTTACCTTAAATAAGAATTTAACATTAAAGTTCAAAGCATAAGTCGTAACGGATGGATTAAATCATAGGATAAATTTCTTTAATAAGAGCCATATCAATAACACAACCATTTCATTACAAAACTAGTATTCGAGCCCCGGCGCTGATTGTATCTACTTAAAGTATTTTTAATAAATAACGAATTAGAAATGAAGTTGCGTGTTCAAAATATGTGTATATTGTTTTTGAGAAACATGTTAAGAGTCATGTGGTGTTGAGTGTGTGACATGGCATAATAAGACCGTAATTGGATGACATGTCTTAATGAAAGGGTATTGATGTGACACATATACTTTTAGGAGAATTCCTTTTAATATAGTAGTTAACAAAACAACATATCTATTTTATTTAAATAATTGGTCCACTTTCCATTTACGATCCTTCATAATTACTTGATTTACATTCTAATTTTGGAAAGATTTTACAATACTTGATTCATTTCTCACTACTAGTGGATCGCAACATAATAATATTTCTCCTTATATTATACCACTACTTTTGGTTATTTCAATTTTTTATTTTATCAACTCTCACTATCTCCATCATATTCGATTACTTACTCCTATATATAATACTAATCACAATGTCTAATGTTAATATGTATTTATTATTAAAGTAGAATATCCTAATAGACATTCCTAATACATTAGAGTCATGTGGTGTTGAGTGTGTGACATGGCATAATAAGACCGTAATTGGATGACATGTCTTAATGAAAGGGTATTGATGTGACACATATACTTTTAGGAGAATTCCTTTTAATATAGTAGCTAAAAAAACAACATATCTATTTTATTTAAATAATTGGTCCACTTTCCATTTACGATCCTTCATAATTACTTGATTTACATTCTAATTTTGGAAAGATTTTACAATACTCGATTCATTTCTCACTACTAGTGGATCGCAACATAATACTATTTCTCCTCATATTATACCACTAATTTTGGTTATTTCAATTTTTTTATTTTATCAACTCCCACTATCTCCATCATATTCGATTACTTACTCCTATATATAATACTAATCACAATGTCTAATGTTAATATGTATTTATTATTAAAGTAGAATATCCTAATAGACATTCCTAATACATCTTCATAATAGACATTCCAACTAGTTAATATTTTAGATTATTGAACGCCATTACGACATTTATTTTAAAATCTATAAATCTTTCGGTTCTTAATACTATCAACCTTTGCCTACTATTAAAAGGTCACAATACTTGCAAAACAATATTTATCTTAATGATCAACTTAACTTTCACTATTAACAAACAATATATAACACTGGAGTGTGTTATATTGTGTGAACCTAACATTTCTTAAATGCCTTTTTGAAACTGTTGTATATAATGTACGGGGTAGACAGTGAAAATCTTTAAATGAAATTAAACATTTGACATCCAAATATTCACGTTTTATTATTTTGTTAATTATTAGTCATTAAGTTTCTAATTGAAATATGAAATATGTGATTATGTCAAAGGATCATTCATTTACTTTTATCTTTTAACTACATTTGGATTACTATCTTTCATTGTATATATTAAGGATCACATTTGTTTAAAATTTTATATTGTTCAATATTTATATTGCCAAATTCACTACTATACACATCATTCATATAAGTCAATTCCATTCTACTAATTTTTATTAGAGCATCACTACAAAAAAAATGAGAATAGGCAACACTAAAGATTGCAACACTTACAGAAATGTTACTCTTAATAATCTAACGCAACAATACTTATTTGTTACCTTGAACTAAAGTAACAGAAAAAAAGTGTTGCTCTAGACTATATAAGACAACAGTCGCTTAAAGTGTTATCTTTTTCTTGTCTAAGACAACAAATATAATAATTGTTGCATGAAAAGATAACAATAACAAAACTATTGTTTGAAAAATATAACATTAATATCTATGTTGCCATCTATAGCAACATTTATATTAAAATGACAACATATATATATATATACATATATATATGTATGTATGTATGTATGTATGTATATACATATATATATATATTTATATATAAATATATATATTTATATACATACATACATATATATATTATATATGTGTGTGTGTGTGTGTATACATATATATATATATATATAATACATATATATATATACATATATATATATGCATATATATATATATATATATATGAGCAAGTTTGGTAGAGTTGGTGGGGAACTCACCTTGTAACTCTAAGGTTACAAGTTCGAGCCCTACTAACTATTAAATGCTTGGGAGTGACAACATTTTTGAATTATCTTCTTAGATGGCAACATTTTTCATTTGTTATCTTTGTTAAAGTGTTGCCTTATGTATCATTTTACCTAAGCTTTCAAAATTGTTGCCTTTGAATAAAAATGTGTTGCCTTATGAATAGACAACGGGGGCATAAATTACGCCTCATATGTGTTGTCTTAGCTACAAGGCAACACTTTTTTTATATTAGGCAATGGTTTTGCATTGTTACCTTTGCTTTATTTTGTTGTAGTGATATTTCTAGCTTTGCATATTAGTCAAATCAATGATTACTTGACTACACTTATTAAAATTTCTTTTCAATATCGATTAAATAACATTGAATATGATAAATAGAATCATTACCACATAAAGTTATCGTTATGCTCATTTGGAGCAGTGAACTACTTAACCTTTACAACGGTATAACACTATTGGAAAACGATGTTTACTAAAGTTTTTGACCATGATCTAATATAGTCTTCATAAAATCAAAAAACACCCAAAGCTTTCTATTATCTAAGCACCATTTCATATTCATTTAATGCATTATTTATAACTTGTTGACCAAGCAATGTGTTGAATGACTTACTCCATTCTATAAATAGAGGAAGAGTAGCGGTTGTTTAGTAGAAACTACAAATCTCTTTTCCTCCTCAATAAAAACTAGTCGTAACATTTCTTCTCCATTTTCTTTCTTCTGTCCATCTCTACTAGCCATGGCTAGACGAGCAAGAACCAGAAGTGGAAGACTTGGTCTCATGTTTTTCACTCCACCAACTGGCCTTGTCTCTGAGATGGATTTTACCTCTTTTCAATATCTTTTCAAAGATGCAGTAGATATAAACAATTCCACAGTTATGTCTACTGAAACTATTGCTTATCTAATACTTAACCCTTCGTACCCAAGCAACAACTCATTAAACAATCTTTTAATGAGGCCTAATGGTGATAACGGTGTAGTCCGACCAGCTCATTTACCTAATTATCACGATACATACCCAATTCGATCTGAATTTCATATATTTTTAAATTGGTGTCTTGGCTACACACATTGTAACCCAAATAATTTAATACCAGCATTGCATGTTCTTGATCCTATGCCAGTCATAAGTTTTGATGCTCCTGTTTTGACCTTAGACCATAGTCCGCTTAGGATGTTGGTAGGGCCATTCATCGATGCTTTTCAAGTATTGAAATCCCCACCATTCCCTCATGTTCTTCATTTGTGGGTTGCATTTGACAGTTGCAATGAGTTTGTTGCTGGTTATCATATTGTTGATTTTACTTGTTTTCAAGGTCAAAGATCGGCATCACTTGTCAATCCCCCTTGTGTTGTTATGCCTAATGATACAATTGTGTGTTGTTGGAACGTAAGAGGTCTAGCTAGGCCTTCATTTACTGAACATTTTCAAGTAATGTATGAACGATACATGCCTAGTATAGTTGTCTTGTTGGAAACTAGGCAAAGCGTTGAAAATGTTCATCTTATTGTGAGGGAACTCCCAGGAAATTTTCGCTTTTCATTTGCATCCCCTGTAGGTCTTTCTGGTGGTGTTGTTGTGCTTTGGAAGGATGATCTAATTGCTGCAGATCAGAGGGCAATTAACTCAACTTTCGTGAAGGTGGATACATACTTTAAGGTATAGTACATCTTAGATAATCTTGTTTGATATAAGTATGTCGTATTCACTTGGAACCTTATTTACATATCTAAATATGTACATTGTTATTGACCATATAAAATATATATTCTTACTTGTAGGGGCATCCAATGTCTAGGCGATCATTATTTTAGATGTTATGGCCATTGCATGTGTGGTTGAAGGCTTCTCAAGTGGATCATCGATGATGAAGTTGCTAGTTTCTTATAAATAAAGTGTTGTGTTGTATTATGAATTTTAATAATTTGGTTTTCTAGCATGTACTAAAAAGTTTAATACTTTATGTTTATTAAGTGTTTAATTTCTAATTCCGTTGTTTGTTTCTTAATATAATTTGGTTTTCTAGCATGTACTAAAAAGGAATGCATGAACTTTTTAGCCCATAACTTCTTGAAATACCTGTCGAATTCCTTATGAAGTCTATATAATTAACTTCTATATAGTAACTAATTGTAGTTCTTATCAATTTAATTCTATTAATAGTTCTTATCACATAAGCGGCATTCATGCATTAACTACCACATGTTTTTATGGATTATTAGAGATTGAAATGCTAATGTGCTACAACATGTTTGTAACACTGAATTTTATTTTTAAAACATCTTTAAACCGAGTAGGATTAAGTATTAAGCCACAACATCATACGTAGCAAACGATTACATAAGCAATAGAAGTTAGATGATGAAAATAAATATTACAAAGAGTAATATAACTAAGGCTACAACTAGGCAGTTGATCCGTGCCCTGAAGTTTAAGTTCCTCATATTAGCCTTCTGATTTAAATTGATCAATCTTTGAATCTCCCTAATTAATTCCCCATTCTCCATTTCAAGCACCTCCTTTTCTCTTTGTAGTATGAGAATTTGTTCATGAGCCCCTACAAGTGTTGTTGGTAAATCTTCCTCCCACTTAAAAAATCTGCAATCCTTGGCTCTATCCTGGATTATTAAAGAAATTTATAAACTTAGTGATTTTATTTTTTTTAAACAACTTAGTAATTAGTTAATAATACTATTTTAAGTTTTATAATCAAATACATATTTTGTAAATTTAGACGTTACCTTCCAAAAGGGGCAGCTGTAGAATCGTTTTCCAACATTTGGACCTCTTCGGACTGTTGTGATTCTAGCGTGCACACCATGGGCGCAAGTGACAACTTTGTTATTCTCAGAAGTTTGCTCAGTTCGTCATCATCAAAAAGGGACAACTTGTTGGCCCTTATGAGGTTTTGATGATGATGTTAAGAATTGAGCAAACTTCCATTTAATATGGATTTTCTAGTATTGTGATGTTTGCAGGTTCAGTAAGCGTTGAGGGCTGAAGTAGGAACTGAAACAGAGGAACTTTAGAAGATCCATGAGGATACAAGTAAAGTTAGAAGAAGAGTTCCATAAATGGAACTTCCAGAAGTTTCTTAACAGGAACTTCGAAACGGGTTGTAACGACCTGGTTCCGGTGTAATGCTGGGGCAAACATTAAGATCCAGAATATATCAAGACTACAGGATTCCAGAACAAGAGTTTCAGAGAAGCAACATGAAGACAGAGAAATAGAAGTATATTGCTCTAGGATTCATGTAAGTATGTTGGACATAAAAGTCGGTCTGGAACAAGTCTATATAGAACCAAGGTGAACTCCAAACAGTCAATGAAATTAGAGTAACTGACTTGTCAGGAACTCAGAGACTATCAGAGTTCAGGAACCTAATAGGAACTTAAGTATGCACGTCGTTAAAAGTCGGTTTTAATGATATATATATTTACCTTATACGTGCATATCTTTTAGGGATTTGGTTTTACTGAATAAAGATATTTATCTTCTAATAAATCCCTTTTGGAAAAAGATAAGATTGTTTAAAAAGTATTTTAAACAAAAAGATAAGTTTTGAATAAAATCTGATTTTATGCTAAGTTTATCTTATTATTATTGACAGTTTTTATTCTTAACAAAAAGATATATTTTCGGAAAACTGATTTTTAGAAAATATCTTTTAAACTTATCTTTTCAGAAAATCTATCTTTTTCAAGATGAAATGAATAATTCGAGTGTACTATAAATATGCTCATAGGAATTCATTCAAAGTTGAGGCTGATGAAGTGTAGTGGTCGTGCTTAATGGTTTTATCCTTCACCACGAAGCTAAGTCAGTCCTCCTGGTCAAAGTTCCTATCAGGTTTTGGTTACAATACGTCCAGTAAGTTCCAGACAGATTTCGAGTGTCCAACATATTAGTTTTATCTCTTTATTCATAGATATGTATTTAGGGATATTCAATGAGGTCTTGTAATGGGAAAAAGGGTTTTGAGTGTTTTGTATTTTGGGGTGAGATTGTGAATTCTCTTAAATTCACGTTTGTGATGAGTTTGAATTCTCTAAAATTCGAGTGGTAGTTAGTCACCCCGAGTGTGTCTTGGGTTGCACAGTGGGAAAAAGGAACCTGAGTGTGTCTTAGGTCGAGAAAGGAACCTGAATGTGTCTTGGGTCGAAAAAGGTGCCTGAGTGTGTCTTAGGTCTGATAGGATAGATTCTTATCAATTAGCAAGTGTCCGAGGAGGAACTTGCGAAGCAAAGGTCTGTGTAATAGGTTGTACTAGGAGAGTTGCCTATTATAGTGGAATTTGTTTATAAGTCCCAATAGGGCCGAGGTTTTACTTCCAGTTGGGCACTGGATGGTTTCCTCGTAAAACTTGTTGTGTGCTTTAAGTTCCTTTACGTTTTGTTTTTAATTTCCGCATAAGTTCCGCGATTGGAACCTACTACCATTCACCCCCCCTCTTGTAGTAGTTCATCTAGACTAACAGTTACCAAATATGACACCAGAACCATGTGCTCCTTCACTTGGAAATGAAATGGAAATACTCTCCGCTGCCTTTCTTAACCTGCATTCTTAAATTAAAGACCTTAATTGTTTCAAAGCATTACTTACAGTGTCAACAACAACATCGTCATTCACCATAGCTGCAACATCACATAGTTGTTCAAAATCCTCCATCAACCTGTTGTACCTTTTCACAGCCGCATATTTATTAGGGTCATGATAAGAAACCCCTACTCGAGTGTGTTTCCTTAAAATATCCTTCCTCCAACGATTAACAGCATACATCTCTGGTATTTCAACCACAACATTGTGTTCAAGTATCTGCATCATATGGTTGCACATGATTCCATGTGTTACAAATTTACGGCATTGACAGTTAACTTCTTTTGTGACCTTGTTAAAAGTTGCTGTCAAATACCTTCTCCGATTAGTTAACACCTCCTCACTCTTTCCTTCGGGTAAAATCCAAACACGATCTTCAACCGCATACTCAATTGTATTTTCATCCAACATTTTATTCACTTTACAATTACAGTACATCAATCGAGTACATTCTGTTTGTACCTCTTGAAACTTGTTGTCGGTGTACTTACTTTGAAAATAATTCTCCACTGTGAATCCAGTGACTATCCTCCTTACATATTTTGCACAATTTGCATCAGCAGCTGTCTTATCTCTCACACGCTTATCCATGGCCTTCGCATACTTCTGGGGAATTCAAAGAGTTTGGTTTTACGATTAACATATCCATCAAAGAAACTGTTAATACTCTCAACCCGTTGAGTTGTCTTCATCCCAGCCTTGAAATATTCTTTCATGAATGCCGGAACCCACATATGACGCTCAACATAGAGGCTTGCTAGCCAATCATTTGTTTCCAAATTAAAGTCATCAACTAAAGATGCCCACCTTGTCTCAAATTCATCAACGGTCAGACTTTCATAGACTATAGCCTTCAAAACACCCTTGAAATATTTGTACCTATACATATTAATATGTCATTTAATATTCGGATATATAATACCAATTTTTGGGAATTTTGCTAAAATAAAAATAAAACAGTAAGACATAAAACAAGAAGAAGTTATTTAAATCAACAACTTGGTATTAAAACAATTCATCTCACCAGATCATACTTTAATCTAGGGGCCCTATACTAGAGCAGGCCCAGTACTAGAGCAGGCCCATGGCTAATGACTAATTACTCAATATTGATTATGTATTCTACTTTGTCGTTATACAAGACAATGACTTATTTTTTTGTTACATTACAATCCATTAATTGTATATAACCTTATTACTCATTATTAAACTGTTAGATGTACGTAAGAAAAAAAATTTTCAGGAATGAAAATAACTTCCAAGAATGAAATGTACATATTTGGATGATTAAATTATAAACAATTATAAGTATGAAGGAATAGATAAACACAATTAGAATACTTACCTTGCACATTTGCCCAATTTCTCAGGAATTTTTCTCATAATGTGCCAAATGCACCATCTATGTCGCGTAGAAGGCATTAGCTCCTCTAACGGCTTCCTCATGGCGGCCGCCTGGACAGTGAGAATTGCAGCCAATGCGCATCCTAACAATATGGTTTGTCCGTGGTGGTTTACACCCACAAAATTAACAAATGGTAATTCATACTCATTTGTTAGATACGTGGCATCAAAACAGACAACATCACCAAATTCTTCATATGCGACACGGCTACGCCCATCAACCCAAATAACATCTCTCAAACGGCCCTCTAGGTCTAAGCGTTCAGAGTGATAGAAATTGTTGTTGCCATCTTGCATTTTTTTTAAAATAATTCATCAACGTTGCTGCATCACCCCCGGCCATTTTGAGCCTCCTTTCCTTATATACAACATGCGACAAGTCTTTCACAGTAAATTCAAGGTTATCAAGCCCTTTCACCTCAGCCACAAAGCAACCATGAATCTGTGCAATGGGCACACCTTCTTCAAAATAGTCAAGCAACCTCCTCCTAGTTCTTGAGGTAAGGCCCCTCATTCGATACTCTTTAACTAGCTTTGATTTACGTGGTGTCGGGTTGTGATTATGTTCCAAATGCACTTTCTTAATCTCCCACTCCCCATCATGATTAAGACTAGCATATACCTTTGCCATACACTCGCATTTTTTAGACTTTCTCTTCCGTTGGCTTAAATCATCCACACACACAACACCCCCAACCACACCGCCTGAACCAGATACATCCATAGACTTTGCCCTTTTCTTCGCTTCCCTTATCGCTCTCATATCCGGTCTACCCCAACATTCACACTTCCATGTAGTTGTAATTCGTTCTCTTACCTCGCCTTTTGAATACACACCTTGTGGTCTACAGACTCCAAATCCCTTTTGTTCGGCATATTCTTTATAATATGACTCGACATCTTGCCAAATCTTAAAAATCATTCCAACCTTAGGGGGTTCAACACATTTCATAATACTCACGTCATTACTACCAACAACAGTGTCTAATGTCTCTATTGTGTTAATAGGAGACATAAATTGATTATTGTTCTCCTCCTCATAGCCACCCTCATCTCCGACTGTGTTGAAGGGAGACATGCATTGATCACCATACGGGTCATCAATGCCATCTTCACTAACAATCTCATGAACCTCCACATTTTCACTTCCTTCAACCATATTATCAACCATTTTATGTATCAAATCGTTTTACCTCAAAGAGGACCTGCATGCATTGTGTCAAAGTCACTATACCGTTTACATAATTAATTCTGTGTAAACCGCTTAATATTAATTTAATCTACACACATATACAAGTAAAACAATTAACTTCAATTCAAACCATTCCACAAATTCATTATTATAATATTGCATGTATTACCCACAACACCAGTAAGAAATCCACATCACCGGTCTTCAGCTTAACATCCTCAGGTTTTTGCCAACGGAGAATAGTACGGTCATCAGACCACATCAACAACCTAATCTCACTTGGTGAAACATCAACTTTCCCAGCATAGTCGCGGTAGATTTTATCAGCTCCTAACAACAACCGAAAAATTGGTGTGTCCCTCTTTCGTAACTGGGGGATCCGCTACATCAAGATCGATGTCAACTGGAACCCTAATGAGGTCCTCCTCATGGAAGGGCATATCTTTTATCGGACTAAATGTGTCCTTCACAGTAAAGGATGGAGCAGCAAATGGACCCACTATGTGAAAAAATGAATTTGGCACCGGTTCAAACCCGGCCTAAGGCACCGGTTTGAACCGGTGCCAATGTGGGGGGTGCCAAAAAGGGGTTTAAAAAGGCACCGGTTCAAACCGGTGGCAAAAATCGAAATTGGCACCGGTTAACCGGTGCCAAAAAGGCCAACTAAAAATTATTTCAAAGTTTTTGGCACCGGTTAACCGGTGCCAAAAAAACCCCAAAAATCAATTTTTTTTTTGTCTTTTTTTGCTTAAAAATTAAATAAACTGAATTAAATAAAAAAACAAAATATAAATCAAACATCGCAATCAATATAAACGATTCTGTTTAATATATATAATCAATAAAATTTTACAGCATAGATCAATAAAAAAAAATTTACAACATATAAAAAAAAATACAACATATAAAAAAAAACTACAATATAAATCAAAAAAAAATATTACAACATCACAATCTAAAAATCCCCATATTCTTGATTCTTCGATTATGTATACCTGCGCCAATTAAAACATCAAAAATAAATTGATTAAAATGAATAAGCTGCGAAAAAAATTAAAAAAACCCAGAAAATAAATAAAAAAAATCGAATTAAATCGATTAAAATAGAAACAAAATCGAAAAAACCCAGAAATCAAAAAATCAAAAGAAAATCGAAAAAATAAAAACAAAATCCCAGAATAAAAAGGAAAAAACCCAGAAATCATAAAAATAAAAACAAAATCGAACAATTAAAAAACCCAGAAACCAATTAAAATAATAACAAAAACAAAAAAAATTGAAATCGAAAAAACCCAGAAAAAATCGAAAATCAAAATCGAAAAACAAAAATCAAAATAAGACAACGAAAGTAAAAATCGAAACACAAAAATCAAAATCGAAAAAAAAGAAAAACAAAAATCAAAATCGAAAAACAAATATCAAAAATCAAAATCAGACAACAAAAGTAAAAATCGAAACACAAAAATCAAAATCGATAAAAAAGAAAAACAAAAATCAAAATCGAAAAACAAAAATTAAAAATTGAAAAACCCAGAAAGCGAAAAAATAAAAACAAAAACGAACAAATAAAAAACCCAGAAATCAATTAAAATAAAACAAAAACGAAAAAAAATTGAAATCGAAAAAACCCAGAAAAAATCGAAAATCAAAATCGAAAAAAAAAATTCAAAAATCAAAAATCAAAATCAGGAAACAAAAACCCAGAAAACAAAAACCCAAAAAAACCAGAAATCGACAAAAAAAAATCAAAATCGCATAAAAAAAAACCTAAATTGAAATCGAAAAAAAAACCCAGAAATTGAGGGAGGAGGAGACGTGTTCGTGGTGGTCTCCGTGGTGGTGTTGCATGTGCTTGCGATGGTCTCCGTAGTGGTGTTCGTGGTGGTCTCCGTGGTGGTCTTCGTGGTGGGCTTGAAGGAGAAGGAGACGCGGTAGCTTAGTCTTGAAGGAGAAGGAGGAGATGAGAAAGGGAAGGAGGAGATGAGAAAGACTGGTTAAGTGGAGCGAAAGAGGAGGAGAGGAGAGAGAAAGAGTAGGAAAGAAGAGGAGAGGAGAAGCGGCGAGAATGAAGAGTAGGGTTTGGGGGGTATAAATATGACCGAGTTTTTTTTTTTTGGCACCGGTTTGGTCTGAACCGGTGCCTTTTATACTTGTGTAAAATGGCGCCCAAATTTGGGCCGGTTTAGGGCACCGGTTTGGCCTGAACCGGTGCCTTTATAGGGGTGCCTTATTGTATTTTTCTACTAGTGACCTAAGGTAGGCATTACCTTTTGCACTTCTTTAGTGTCTCCTACCTTTTTAGATGTTGGTCCACAAAACGGCTCCATTTCTAGCTTGATATTTGGAACAGCATCATCGTCTACATTTTTGTTGCCAGAGGGCTCACCCAACTCTCCCATTTTTTGCTTCACACACGGTACCTCATTCTTATGGTCAGGGAATTTAATTTGGGCATCCGCATTTTTCATGAGGGTATTGATCAATAGTGATCTGGTTTTTTGGTACTTTTTGATTATCCTCTTAGCCTTTCCATCGGCTAAGTTGATGGGTGAACGGGGAGGCTTGTTTGTGTTTGGCATTTTGCTTCTTCAGAATATAGACTGTGGTTTGATTTTTTGAAGTTGGAATGTACTCTCAATATTTGGGTTTTTGCCTATGTGGGGAAATACTCAATCCCAGTCATACCTTTTATAGGCGCCAATGCGATATCCCACACTTCCCTCCATTCATTCCACCATGGCGCCAAGATATAATGCTGTTGGTTTGTATTTTATTACTTAGGGCAAATTTCCCATATTGGTAAATTAAAACAACACTGTCGCGACAATTTGATAAAAATATCTTAATTCACCAACAGGACGCTAAAAAAAACTAATCATATTTGACAACATGGTCTTATCAAATTGTTCCAACTACATTTTAACATAATACCTTTTTTGTTGTCGTAGATTTGCATAGAAACATCCTAAATTTTATTTATCATAGATTTGCATAGAAAGATCCCAAATTTCATACAAGGAAATATATCATGTGCCAATTTATGAATTTAATTGAGGCGAATTAACATTTTAGGAACCCTAAATTAAATATTAGGAAATAGAACAGACTTCATTTTTTAAGGATTTCAAAACCGGATCCCACTTGTTTTGAATTCAATCCACTTGGGTGGTATCAAATCGAACATGTTTAGTAACCTAATCCAATATGGTAATGGAATTTCAAATTCGATCCAATTTGACATTATTTTCGGCTAACATATTCTTCCTTTTATTTTTCTTCTGATTTGGCTTATAAGGGCCATGTTCTCATTGACTGCACTTATTAGTTAGTGATTTATAATCTACGGATTAGTGATCCCATATCTTATGTAATTAAGCATAAGTGTATATACAATTACACAAATATGCGTATTCATTTTAAAAAAAGATTTACCCCTATTATAATTATTATTATTAGTATTATTATTATTGTTAGTATTATTATTATTATCATTATTATTATTATTATTAACAACATACCAATCTGTCAATTTATCCAATGATTAAGGCCAAAATATAACAATTTGCAATTGTGGTGTACGATGTATTAGGGTTTATCACATTAGGGTTGGGCAAAGCTAGTTTTATTACACGACGTGTACACTTGAATATCGAAAGCAAATGGAAACAATAGGATTTCTTTGACTGGTGTCTTATTTCCCGCGCATAGGACAATGCAATTTACTAAATCAACAATTCACACTATACCTTTCGAAGCCGTAACCCTACCCTACTATTATAGAGTTCTCATGGCTATTATCATAAATGAATTCCCAAAGAGATATACTGTCTAACCCATAAAGATAGTTCACTTATTTCGTGAGTGTTACTTGTTCATATTGTCTCATATTGATATACCTAAGATCCAGCAGAACAAATAGTGCGTACGGTTCCTCAAAAACAAAAACATTAGTGGACATATTATGTACGAGTAGTTCGCATGATCGGCTTGGGTCTAATATAATCAGGTCGGGTAATGTAAATTTCCAAACAGGTCGGGTCGGGTGTTCATTTGAAATCAGGCCGGGTGTTCATTTGACACCAGGTCGGGTGTCCAATAAAAAAGCTCTTTCCGAAAAAAGCTCATCCAATGAGGTTTTTCAATCAGGTTATTCATTAATTTTTACGCAATGACACTTATAACCTCAATTAATTTAAAATCCTATCTAAACTACTTACACTACAATTTGCTTATTGGTCATTTCACAAACTAAATCGTCTAAGTTATCGGCTACTTACCAAACACTCTTATACAAGGGTGCCTTTTTATAATGTTAGTACGTTAATAAGTCATGCCATTTATGAGTACAATTACAGGAAATTAGTACGTTAAGAAGTCAGATGTTAGTTGCCGTTCAATCCACCCTTATCCTAAAATTGCCACATATGAAAGCCACTTACGTTAAGAACAGATTATTTCCTACTTTTATTTCCATTACTCCAGATGGAGAAAAGCCAATATCCTTATTGCCGTTAAATATGCTAGTGGCAGTGCGCAACTTAGGCCTGCTACAGAAGATCAAGTCATTAGTCTTCATGACTTCTTCAGCGGCGTCTGCTGATGATACGATAAGGACTGGTTTGCTCCCAAAGTAGAGCAGCATAACCTTGCCATATCGTCGAGACAATGATCGAAGAGAGCGATGAAGTAACAGATCAAGCTGGTGGAGGTTCCCTAGGATTGGCAGCTTTGGCGGCGAAGGTGGCGGGTTTTTGCCAGCTTTACCGGGTTTTGAAGAGAGCCTCTTGTAGAACATTATTACAAAGAGCATTAATGGGAGAAAAAAAGGATGGAAAATCAGTTTTTGCGAGAATTGTAGAAATGGATTGATTATTGTTTCCATGTTTTTTATCTGATATTGCTGAAAAAGAAAAGGAGGGAAATTGGAGTTTTTTATTTACTGAAATGGAATATTAGCTTAACGAAAGTAAAAATGTCTG